AGGAAGGAAGGAAGGAAGGAAGGAAGGAAGGAAGGAAGGAAGGAAGGAAGGAAGGAAGGAAGGAAGGAGAAAGAGAAAGACAAAATAAGCAAGCACTCACTTCTGTTTTGTGGGCAAAGGACATTTATAGAGCATCTGCATTTGCTGGGGGCCAGGAATTGAAAGAGCTCCCTAGCACAGCCCGAGGCGGGCAGTGAGCAAGGGCTTGCAGGCTATTAAGAGAGAGGCCGTCAGACACCAGGAGGATAAACTGAGCCCCCAGGCTCAGTTCAGACCGGCTGTCTGCAAGGTGGATACAGACCCAGCATCTTCTATGGAGATTAGCTAATAGCTCCTAAAATCCACCCGGCAGTCTCCATGCTGAAGGAGGCTCTGGTTGCCCTGCACCCAGTTTCATCCATGTACAGATGCTTGTTGTGTTGTTGCAAACACTCAGAGGGGGAAAAAAAGAAAAAGAGAAAAAAAAAAAAGAAAAAGAAAAGTAATACTCCTTAACTTGCTGGCTTGAGCTGCGCCGGCTTGACAAGAAGCCATTGTCCCCATTGAGATTCCAGGCTTGTCTGGAGCCGGGACCAGGGCTRCGTGCAAATGCATGAAGAGAAGGGAACTCCATGCGTGGTGAAAGAGCAGCCTGACAGATTCACCTTCGCTGCCTTGATCTGCCAGCGCCTCCGAATCCCAACGCCTCCTTTCAAGAGATTTTCAGCTCACACCAGGAGGACTCTCATCATCATCCTGCATGTGAATGCGTGCAGGATTGCAGGGTTGCATTGACAGCTCCTGCTGCAATTGGGGAAGTGCTAAAACTGATGACACTGCCCAGCTTCTCCCATTGTCCTAAGGAGGATGTAGGAAGAAGCTGAGAACATCCTAAAYGAAGTTTTTTAGTAAAAAGCTCCATAAGCATGCCATAATCCTGAAAAGGTCACAGACACCTGATATTCCTGGCACCAGAAAATAAAATGCATGGGTRCAAAGGTGCCTCTTGATTCTCTACTTTATTCCCTCTATCACCAACTTCTGGATGATACTTTTAAAAACACATAGTTAAAACAAGTAGTCCTCGCCATATCCGTGTAATTTGTTGATGTCTTTRCCACTGGCTCAGGTAACAGTCTCTAGTACAATGGCTGGGACTTTGTGGTCTTTTCCTAGTGCTAGATTTCTTTTTAAGAAGTAAAAAAGGAAAGCAAAAAGCCAAGGGGTGTGGTGTTGCCACAGATGGGGTTCCCCAAGCAGATAATCCTGCATAGGAGGTGAGAAGTTTCGCACTGTTGGACTTTGAGACATTCACACATCAGGCAGGTTTAGGTCCGGCTCAAGATACCATTGGGTTGGGGATGAAGCCAAGGTTGCGTGTGCAGGGGCCTGAGAAGAAAGCTGCTTTTTCTCTTTTTCTCTTAGTAGGAAATGTATGTTCYCCTCTCCAGTAATAGCTGGGTTTTATTTACAAATATTGCATTTTCATAGGGAAAACAGAGGAAGGAAAGTCGCTTCTTCAGGGCGCTTCAGCAGTGGACAGCTACMACATGAGCCCTGCTCTCTTAAATACGAGAAGACTCTAATTTTGCAGTATTTATACAGGAAAAAAAAATTGGAATTATTCAGTATGGAATTTGAACATTTGAATGCTTGAGGCATTTTCAAAGCCAACAGTTTGTGTGGCTTGGCAGTGAGGCCCTCTAGAAAAGCCGTGGGCTCAGCTCAAGAATTTCCTTCAGGATGGCGAGTCCTTTTACCTTTTCTGTTCTCCCCTGTTTGCTTCTTTCCTTTGCTCTTTAGCTTAGCTTCCTTCCTAAAAGAGTCCAAGAGTATTTCACAGTATATTTGTCTATGAAATGCCACTCATTCAAGTAGTGCCAAGAAGTAGACTGCTAACTTCCCCATATCTGGACAAGCTTGTATAGCTGGAATCCAAAATAAATCCATGTGRATCTGTGGTAAAGGACAACACAGTTGCCAAGTTGTGACATCTGCTTTATCCTTCCCTTAAAAATCCTCCTCTGTGGTTCAATATATATTTATATTATGTTTATATTAAACAGCYAAAAAGTCTAAGGAAAAGACAATAATAGAAAATATACTATGATATGGGCTAGTGGGATAGAAATACAGGGCATTTTCTCAATTTGTGTTATTGAATGTCATGAACTTTGGTTTGCTTCCCATCTTAATTCTGCAGCTAAGTAATTTTAGAGTCCCAAGTTTGCCACTGGAATAGCTGATGCAGAAATGCTCGGAGAAAGCAGAGCCCTTTCTACTCCATCCTGCTCAATTGCAGAAATTCTTGTCGAGCCACTTGCTTTGTTAACTGAAATTTTAAGGAATCCACTGTCAATACGAAAAGTATTAAATCTGCATAACCTGGCAGTGTGTCATATCGCCTGTAAGTGCTTTCCTGTGTTCAAGTTAAGTCCATCTGGGAATAACGATTCTCTTTGCTTGCTGCGATGGAACTAATTAGGGTTGGCCAAGTTGCCCAACCCAGGGTAATTAAGACAATAGGGTTGGCTTATCATTCATCAGACAGCATTGCATGCTCTGGATTGTTGTGATGCAGRTTTTCACTCTGCTAGCACCTTCTGCTGTTGCCTTCCCCATCACAGCTTGGTCATCAAGCCCCCTGGGCAGCTGCAGAGCTTCTTGACTGCTTTGGGGTCAAGCAGTCCTACCTGTGTGCCATAGTCCCAAAAGGGGGACTGCCCATATGTACAAGGCTGGGGACCAGCAGTCTCTGTTATCATCCATGGATAAGTCTCCTGCTTCCTCTCTTTCTTCCTGCAATAGGAATGGGTGTCTGGCCTCCAGTCCTTGCTGGTTTAAAATGAGGGGAGCAACCTCGAGCTCTATGTTCAATTCTTTAAAAAAGGTCTTGATGTAACCTCATTTTCTGATGTGGCAGCACTGATGAAATCCTGTTGCGCTGAGCTTGCCATGTTGCTTGTATTCAAAGTTTAATAGGGAGCCTCCAGAAAAATATAACCTTATTTACGCAGCATAAAGCCAATTGGATTTTGGTTAACTTAATTTCTAAGTGGTTACAGTTCACTAACGATGTAGGTGTGCTATGGAGGCAATGCACAGGAGGGTGACTTTCTTATTTCCAGCCATGCAAGCTTTTCCTTTTATTCATGTTGCCCAGGCAGCCTCCTGATAATTCGCATTTCCAGCTTTTATAATGTGTTGCTCCGCCAGTACCTTTTTGTTGGTTTTTTTTTTTGTTGTTTTTGTTTTTCCACCCTCCCTATTGTACGCTCACAAATCGTACACACTGATTTCTGAAAGCTTCTCATTTCTCTCCGTAGGTTGTTGTTTCGTAACGTTTTATACAAGAAAAGCTGCTCTCGAGGCACAGAATGCACTGCACAATATTAAAACTTTACCTGGGGTGAGTACCTTTCCTTTTCTGATCTTCATTATTTTATCACCAGAAATACTGGCCCCATTAGCTCCGAATGTTCGGAGCACCCCAGGCGACCATGGTCTTATCAAGGAACGGGGGTTAACCTGATAGCAATGGCACTAGCTCTACAACAGTTGCTTTTCCAGAGACCCTCCCTTGGCTGCAAATGGGTCTGGTTCCTGCCAAAAAAATAAAGTAGGATCAATTTAGAAATAAAAATCAAAAGAGCAAGGTGGTGAAGGGGGAAAAAACATTGGGTTTTTTTCCTCCACTTTCTTACACCTGGTGAACACGGAGAAGGAAAAGAGAGTGCTTTGCTTTTATAGCTTTTTTATTTTTAATACAAAACTCAAAAAGGGAGTATTTTTCTAATGCTGCCTCAAGGTCTTTAGGCTTTAAGATTTTATCTTTTCACGCTCATTGTTTTTTTGCCCTGCTGACTGTGAGGTTGCAAATGTTTCTTTTAAGGAAATATGGAAACAACATTCTCATGACTCTGGCCCCCGGGCTTTGCAAACCCTCCCTGCTCCTGCATGAGGGGTTAAGATTTTCCTTTGCTCTAACTTGTTATAGCTACGTCTTAAAGCGACATCTCTAACAGAGTGCAACAACTCAAATGCAGATTAACGATTTCTCTTTGCCCAGCATATGTTATATAACAGGGTCTATATTTTGCACGGGCTGCACGCTGACATTCAGCATATATGAAGATCCAGTTACGACACTTCTGTGTGGTCCCAAAATAACTCCCTTTAAGCACTCTCCAAAGTTGGGGCATGGATCCTGTAAGCACTTCACTCAAGCAGGATTCTCCTGATGCAGATTTTACCGATTCCTGTCTCGCTTGGTCCAGCCCACGAGGCAGATTCCAGCAAAGCAGCAGGGATGAGCAGTGCATAGGCCCTTGTGTGATACAGTCTCTGCGAGAACATTGGACTATCTTCCATGAGTGTGACCCGCAAGGGATGAGTTCAGGTCGGGTTTCTTTAGGCATCAAGTGTCAGAACGATGACAGGGAGCCTGGGAGCCTCCTGGAGATAAAATAATTTAAAAAAAAATCTGTGCACTTCACTTTTGCTAGAATATAAGCATGCTGCAGATAAGGTGCATTCCTCAGATAGCCCTAGGAGGGAAAAAAAATAGAGGCAAAGGCAGGTGGTTCATTAGTTTTTTTGGTTCATTAGTTCAATAGAATTACAGTAGAGGCCAGAGCAGGGTGCAGAGGCATTTTCCCCATGTCCAAARGGTAGAGGGGACCCTGCTACCCCAGGGCTATAGTCATAGCCGGGATAGTTCTGGTCTTTGTCACTTCTCTGCTTAAATAAAGGTGTTGCACGTGTCAAGTATCTGGCATTTGGATGGGCACTTGCAAAGCCCCAAAATTGCTCCTCTAGTGTGAGATACATSCAGCGGCCAAGGCAGCACGTTGGCCTTTAACATAGGTGGGTGTTTGAGCCAAGGTTGTCCTACTTCTGGGGCAGAACTAGCCCTTAACAGAGACATGAAAATGTAAAAACACTTCATCTGCTCCTTTGATCCATGGCCTTTTAGTGGACATGTAGAAAGTAAGAGCAGACATAAATGATTAATGCAGACTCTTGGAAGAAAATATTGCAGGGTGCCTTGCTGTTTGATTACAAGCCTTGGAATTAGTCAACATTTCCATAATTCTAAACCAATATACACCTGTTTTCCCACTGTGATGTGAAGGCACAACTTAATTTAACAGAAACCCCGCTGTGCTAAATCTCTCATTAAATACCAAGCCAGTTCTGTAACTTAAAGTTGCAGCACCACTATTTTAACTGAATTGCCTTTGTATTATGAAATTAATAAGAAGTTAATGATGCACTTTGCAGTATTCCCTCAGATTTTTTTTCACAGCAACAACAACAAAAAGGAAAGATAAAGAAGAGAAATATGTCACCAGCTGACATCTCAAGGCTTTTTTGGTTTTAATCATTTTTCCTGAGGATAAAATTCATTTAAAAGAGTTTTTTTGTGCTTTTTTTTTTAATTTAAAAAAAAACGCCACCTAAGTAAGATCAAACATCTTTTTTCTACCCCTGATTAGTATCTCCCTGTTCATCCTGAAGTTTCTTGTCAGATAATGGAGCTTTTATTTACCCACTAAAATGTGTTTAGGTWTCACTGGTCTAGTAATATTTCTGCAAAGTGGAGAGGAAGAAACATAGTGTTTGAGAAATGCCGACTGATACACAATGTGTATCGACAAAAAGGAACAGTTCCCTTTCTATACCAGTGTCCAGAGCAACTGTTATGTCTTGTAAATGAACCTGAATTCRTGGATGTTATTTCAAATACAATATTCAAGTGGCTGTAGCTCGTAGAGGTGTGGTTTGTAATATTCCCACTTACAGTAATTTTTTTGCCAACCTGAAAGTTGTTTTGGATTTTATTTTTAAAAGCAGAGGAGAGAGAGAGGAGTAATCTTGGTTTGAACTTAATGATGACCATAAGAATGTTTTTCTTTGGGAAGTGGTGTAGAGCTGAAGCCTTAACCACGCTCATCTCCATCAAGAATCTCCTGGCTTTGTTCAAAGTGTTTAACTTCCAGTCGCTAAACAAAATTAATAATTCATCCCAATTATCCTTCTCTCAATTTATTCTATAGCTGTAGATATATATAGTTATATGTTTAGTTTCTTCTGTGTCAAATCTAGCAGAATTGCCTTTTAAAAAGATAGGGGCTAAACCGTGAGGATTTGTGTGCAGGGACTACTCTCAAGCTTGCCACATAGCACTGAYAGACATTTTTTGTTTGTTTCAGATTTAACATGTATGTTAGTTTAAAAATGTAATCTGGTCTGCTTTGCTGATGTTAAAAAATTAAAAAAAAAAAATTAAAAGTGAGTTTGCCAAAGTTTTCTGGTGAAAGTTATCTGAAGATAGCTGTATCAAGGACTATTTGTCAGTCTGTTCTTGAAGCTCAATATCTGAATAAATGCCCCTTTAATCTCATGCAGAAATAATCTGAAAGGAATTTGTTGGAATATATTTGCAAAACCTAGACCTGAATTTCTGTGGGTTCTTTATTTTGTATTTGAATTTAAATTCATTTGATCATTTCTTGTCGTATGTGTATTTTTGCATATATCCTCATCGATAAGGTTACCACAAAAATAATATTCAACCCTGATTTAAGTCCCATCACTGCTGTGCATTCAACTAGTCCCAGTTGACACTAGTTCTAGTGTTTTACTCGGTTCATATTTTAGGTATGACAGACATATTCTAAGCAGCAGCAAGTCCTTCATACTGAAGTCCTCATGTGGGATTAGGACATTCACTTTATGAACCAACTTAATTACGGGTGTGTTGATGGAGAAATACAATTTTGAGAAAGCGTTAAAAATTTAACAGCGTGGAGGAATTTACGGACTCTTAACTGCCTTCTAACATATTAACRGCCCCTCTTTACCAGATGTTGTTAAAGAGGAAATTTTCAATTTCTACACTGCAAGAACCGCTGCAGGTTTTATTAAATGCCATTTACATGATAGAGGGATTTTTTTTTCCTTAAGGATGCTGTGCTASTTGGTAAAAACCTCAGGTCCCATTTGGGCAATAGATTATGCAAAAACGTTTTTAAAGAGAAAAATAGATTAGTGTTCTGCTTTGGTGCCCTTTTAGAAGATGGTTTGCTGTGCCCTCCACTAGGCTGCAGAGATAAAGCGTTTTGTTGAATTTGGACTGGGAATTTGAGATGAGACCAAAGCCTCCTAGGTTTAGAAAAGATCAACTGTAAAGATTTTGTTTGGCTCTATCTCCACTTCCTGATAAATCCCGTCTATCCAACAAGATGCAAATGCCAAGTATATTTCTGCTCTCCACCTTCCATCATTCTTTCTAATCATCATCTTTGAACATTCGTTTTTGGAATAGCATTTTAATATCCAGTGTGTTGCACTGCTTTACATCTTATGTGTTGTCAGTACTGCATGAACATTAGGTAAAAAATACCTGTAATAAAAAGGTAATCATCCAATATGACTTGAATAACAGCCTGAAAATGGGATATCAGTGACTTTGAGAGATTTTGACAAACTTAAAGAGAATTCAAACAGCAATTGAATTAGTTAAGAGATTGGACTGATTGATTTATGATGACAAATGAAACTAATTCAATAGCCATATAGCATGGCCAAGCTAATGAAGGATCAGAAAAGTCTAGAACTACTTAAAGGATAAAAATAACTAGCTGGGAAAGTGGAGAATTCCCAGTGAGTGTCTATTCCTAGCAATGGAGCTACATGACATTGAATGAAGCTGAGAAAGTCAATCTGGCCCATTATTTGCTTTAAAATATGCTTCAAATGCAGCCACTTAATGATAATTTTGTTCAGCTCAGAGGCTCCTTCTTATTACACAAATACACTACTCCCACCTCTGCCTTTCCAAAAAGTTGCATTGATATTGCTAATTAAATGAAAAATCAGTATTTGCCCAAAATTCAAACGCCTTGATAGAAAGATTTGTTACACAACTGTGTAACAAATGTGACAAAGTGACCTAGAAGCCTACTGAAATCTGTGTAAAAAGTTGAGCTTGTAGCTTATCAGCAGAATATCAGTTGTGCAGGCAYAGGGAGAAGGGGCATGTTGGCTTAGTGAAAATAGATTCTCTAAGTTGAGCAAAACATTTCATCCATAATTGTATGTTCCTTTTTATTCATGAAGACTGGGGGCCAGATTCACCTTCTCATATGGTCCAATCACAGAATTGCAATGTTTCTGATGTTGGAAGGGAGCTCTGCAGATCATGCAACCTACTGGCTTGAGCAGGGTCCCTTCCTGAGGATCATCTCTGTCCCTTTCTCCAGCCTGTTGAGGTCTCTCTGGATAACAGCAAAACCATCTGGTGTATTACTCACTCCTTTGTATCATCTGTGAACTCACKGAGGGTGCACTCAGTCCCATTTTCCAGCTTATTCTTGGAGAAGTTAAACAGTTCTCTTAACTATG